CCTCGGCGGTCCCGCCTGTGATTGGGGCTCCTCCCAGTACATCCCAGTACATCCCAGTTCCTTCCAGCGCTACCCCCAGTACATTCCAGTGCCCCCCAGTACATCCCAGTACATCCCAGTACATCCCAGTGCCCCTCAGTACATCCCAGTTCCTTCCAGCGATACCCCCGGTACATTCCAGTGCCCCCCAGTACATCCCAGTACATCCCAGTTCCTCTCAGCGTTCCCCAGTTCCTCCCAGTACATCCCAGTGCCCGCCCAGTTCCTCCCAGTCTCTCCAGTCCCGCCGGTTTAAAGCGGTTTTTTTTAAACGGTGATGCCCCAAATCCCCCCCAACATCCCTCAAAGGGTCCCTCAAACATTCCCGGTGTTCCCAGCCCCAATCCTGCCCCATTCCCGGCGTTCCTGCCCCGTTCCCGGTGTTCCCAGCTCCATTCCCGATGTCCCCTGACCCATTCCCAGTCCCGTTCCCGGTGTTCCCCTTCCTATTCCCGGTGTTCCTGCCCCATTCCCGGTGTTCCTGCCCCATTCCCGGTGTTCCTGCCCCATTCCTGGTGTTCCCCTTCCTATTCCCGGTGTTCCCAGACCCATTCCCGGTGTTCCCAGCCCATTCCCGGTGTTCCCCTTCCTATTCCCGGTGTTCCTGCCCATTCCCGGTGTTCCCAGCTCCATTCCCGGTGTTCCCCTTCCTATTCCCGGTGTTCCTGCCCCATTCCCGGTGTTCCTGCCCCATTCCCGATGTCCCCTGACCCATTCCCAGTCCCGTTGCCCCGTTCCCGGTGTTCCCCTTCCTATTCCCGGTGTTCCTGCCCCGTTCCCGGTGTTCCCAGCCCCATTCCCACCCCACGGAGATTCCATCAAATTCCGGACTGACCCCGGGAAGAGCCGGTCCCGAATCCCTCGGGAATGTCCTGGGGGAGTCCCGTTGGGGGGTTCCCCGCTCCCATCGCAGCTGCGGGATGCGGGAATGGGATTTTCCCGGGGGGATCCCCCAATTCCGAGTCTCCCCCGGATCCCGTCCCCCCTCCCCCGGAGCTCTGCAGACTCCGCCCCAAGGGGGACACCGGGGGTGGCTCGGGGACACCGGGGGACACAGGGCAGGGACATCGGGGGTGGCTCGGGGACCTCGGAGGTGGCTCGGTGACACCGGGGGTGGTGCGGTGACATCGGGGGGGTGGCTCGGGGGCCTCGAGGGTGGAGCGGTGACACCGGGGGTGGCTCGGTGACACCGGGGGACACAGAACAGGGACACCGGGGGTGGCGCGGTGACGCCGGGGGTGGTGCGGTGACATCGGGTGTAGCTCGGGGGCGTCGGGGGTGGTTCGGTGATACCGGGGGACACAGGACAGGGACGCCGAGGGACACAGAACAGGGACACCGGGGGTGGCTCGGTGACACCGGGGGTGGCTCAGGGACACCGGGGGACACAGCACAGGGACACCCGGGCAGCGGCGGGGCCATGGCGGGGCTGAAAACGGCGAGCGGGGAGGAGATCGACGGCTCCTTCGAGCTGCGGGTGGAGGTGGAGGAGGGCGAGGATGTGGGGCAGGGAGAGAATGTGGGGCAGGGAGGTTCCGTGGGGCAGGGAGGTTCCGTGGGGCAGGGAGGTTCCGTGGGGCAGGGAGGTTCCGTGGGGCAGCCCCACGTCCTCACCCTCTGCGTCACCGGGGAGCTGCACATCGGGGCCCTCACGCGTCGCATCGCGGAGACCTTCGGTGAGTGACCCACGGCACCTC